GTCGGAGCGGGGGCTGGGGCCTGCGGGCACGGGATGGGGGTGTCGCGGCGGTGATGAGGGAGAGAGGGGAAGCCCCAGCATCCAGCTGGACCGGGGCATAGAAACCCAGGAGCCTGCAGGGAAGAAGAAGTGCCCGGGTCCGCAAGGAAGCCTGCGAAGCTTTGGGGCTCAGTCCCCTCCAAACACACAGACAAGGCACTCCGCTCCGCTGGTCTGGCCCTGTCCGGAGACTACATTTCCCATCAGCCCTGGCAGCGAGGAGCCGCACTTGGGGGAAGGGTCTGCCGCGGGGCCTGCTGGGAAATGTAGTGCATCTGCACCGTCCCCGGCACTCCCCAGACTTGCAAGTGGGTCAAGGAAAAGAGGCCCAGAAGGCGCGTCTGGCTGCCGTGTGCCTCCGTCACCGATCCCTAGGCTCACGGGTTCTGGCCGGTTTTGGTTGCTCTGACGAGGGGGTCTCTGCCTCTGATCGGGTCTCTAGGTCTCTCAAGAGGAGGCGAGACTGTGATGTCCCCTCTTGGGAAGGACTTCTCCCCAGTGTCTGAGCCTGGGTGTGCATGTGAGCTTGCGTGGCTGCTGTGGTGAACACGGACGAGCTGGGTCTCTGCGCCGGGGTCGCCACCTGGCACTCCCAGTGATCTCCGTGACCCTCTCTCACGGTGCACTGTCGACGTTGGTGCCCTCTGTGATATTTTCTCTTCCTGTCTGTCCGGGTCTCCTGCCTGTGTGTGTGCGCTTTTCTCTGCTTGCTCCCTTGCTGTGGGTGTCTCCCCTCTCACTTTGTAGGTCTCCATGCTTTCCGTCTCTGTTTGTTTCTATGGACAGTCCCTGTGGCCTCCACACCCCCTTCATTCTCCAAGCTTACAAGAAAACATCCAAACACTTCAGCATCAGCATCCCAAATTTATTCTCCAGCAGCTGTGGCGGGCTGGGAGAGGCTAAGGGAAGAGGAGGGGAGGAGGAGAGTCCCAGAGAGTGGCAGGCACTGGGGAGGGTTGGGGTGGGTCCGAGCCAGACAGGAGCCATGCACGGCAGGCAGGCTGCGGGGAGCAGTGATGGCTTCGGGATGGGGAAGTCTAGAACAAAAGCTGATTGGGAGCCGCTGGGGGAAGAATCCTCCATATATCCCAGAAATCCCCAGAGCACAGCAGCGGGACGTACTGGAGGAGGGGGGCATGCCTCCCACTCATCTAGAACTGGAGTGGAGGCGGTGGGGGGCGGGCCTCGGAGGCTGAGGGTTGTTCTGGAACCTGAGTCTGGAACAGCCAACCCCGTGAGGCTATTTCCCCAGGGGCGGGGTCTGGGGGGAGGCATAGAACTACCAAGATGGAGTCTCGAACCCCATGGAGTTGGGGATGGTTAGTGGTGTGGTGGTGTCTCTGGACCCGATTGGGGCAGAGTCCAGAATGCTAAGGTCGGGGAGAATATCGGGCTCCGCTCAAGTCTTGAACGCGGGACGGCTGTAGAGGCTGTATGGAGTTTAGAAGGCCAGGAACGCTCGGGAGGGGCGTCTCGAACCCGCGGGGGCAGAGCCGGAATGCTGGGGTGCAGGATCTAGAATGGGGCAGGAGGTGTTGAAGTTGGGGGGTGAAGTGGGGGCTGCCGCCAGCACGGCGGAGGGGGCGTTGGAGACACCTAGTGGCGGCGGGTGAGATTACATGACGGGCACAGGCACTGGGCTGGTGGGGCTGCGGGCATCCGGATGCACGAAGTCGGGGTTCACGTAGGTAAAGCCCTGGAAATCGGCCTGGTCGATGCTGGCCAGGACTAGGCGGTCTGGAGGGGTCAGCGCTGGCGCCGCCCGCGTGAAGAACTTGTCAAAGTTCTCGCCGCTGCGGCCACACTGTGGGAGACGTGGGGGAGGGAAAGTTAAGCAGCTCCGAGGGTTCCTCGGGTGCCCCTCTGTGTACCCCGGTCTCATCTCCTGTCTCGTGCAGAATCTCTATGCATGCTTCACGGTCTCTGCACCTCCTTTTGTAGGGGGCGGGAGGGCTCTGCAGAGGGAGCCCCACCCCCACATACAGGTATATTGAGACCCACAGGAACCCCACCCCATTAGGGACCAAGTTTTTGTTGCCTGGAGGGTGACTGACCGGGCGGGGTCTGAAAGGAGGTGGGATCTCCAATCGTTCCAGCCGTTCCCAGTCAATCCAGCGGAAAAAGCCATGTGCACGGATGGTAGGTTCCCCATCAGGCCCTGAGCCCAGGCGCTTCCCTGGGTGCTTGGTCAGGAACTGTGGGAAACACAGAGAGAGACAGATAGACAGATAGACAGACAGACAGACAGACAGACAGACAGACAGACAGACAGAGTCCCGGACAGGGAGACCCAGAGAACGAGGAAGAAATAGACAGAGACAAGCAGATGGAGGAACCAAGAGACACAGGCATGAGACCCAGAGAGATAAGAACAGCCAGGGGAAACAGGCAGAGGGAGGGAAGAAGGGAAAAGAAAGGGGAGAGAAAGAGAGAGAGGCAGAGAGAGAGAAGACGACGACGAACAAGACAGAGAGAGACAGAGAGATAGATGCAGAGAGAGACAAGAGAGAAGAGAGGAAGAGGGACAGAGAGAGAGAGGAAGAGAGAGACAAGAGAAGGCGAGAGCGAGAGAGAGCGAGACAGAGAGAGAGAGAGAGAGAAAGAGGAAGAGGGAGGATACATGACAATGGGAGTAGACGAAATTCATACCCAGAGACCCAGGGACACAGAAACAGAACAAATCAGGGTGTGAGGTTGTGAGGGGCAGAGAACCCAAGAAAGAGGAAAGATATGGGAAGGATCCCAGAGGGAGAGGGAAAGGAAGAGAATGAAGGAGATGGCAAAGGGGAGAGGAAAAGGGGGTAAGGGGAGAGAGGGAAGAGGAGAGGGAAGAGGAAAGAGAGGGGTAGGGGGAGGGAGGGAAGGGGAAGAGTGAAGGAGAGAGGGAAGTGGGTAGGGGGAGGGAGGGAAGGGGAGAGGAGACAAGGCGAAGAGGAAAGGAATGGGGAAAAGAGGTTGCAGACTCAGAGAAAGGGGGAAATAGAAATTCAGAGGGTGGTACAGAGACCCCAGGTGAGAAGACAGAAACCCAGAGAAGGGAGGAGACAGAGGAGACCCAGGGGACAGAGATTCAGAGAGAGAGAAGGATAGAGACCCAGGAAACACACACCCAGAGGCAGGAATAAAGACCAAATATGGGGACAGAGACCCAGAGAAAGGGGAGGACAGAAAGCCAGCAGGAGAGGACGGTGAGATGCAGTGTGTGTATGAGAGCAGACACAGGAGGGAACAGAGACGGGGGTGGGGTGGGGGGGGTTGGACAAAGGCCCAAAAGTGTAGATGGAGATACAGAAGGAGACAAAGAGAAAAGGAAGAAACACAGAGAGCCCCATCGTATGCAGATGGAGGGGAGGTATGAGGCAGAAACCAGAGAGACCGTCAGGGAGATGCAGAGAGAGCAGCTAGACGCAGAAGGTGCTGACATGGGCTGAAAATCTGCTATGGGCCAGATGCTTTCTTCTGTGTCAACTCCATAACCCCTGAAGAGAGTTAAGCTCAGAAAGTTTTGGTGAGTCACCCAAGATCCCACAGGAAGAAAAGCTGCAGAAGCTGGGTTTACCTGACCCAGCCAGTTCCGGAAAGACAGACCCTGGACTTTCAGCACTTCCTGCAAGCAGGGAGCTGGGGAGTGGCTGTCACAGACAAGGATGGGACAGAGGCCATCTCCAGGCCTGGTGGCAAGAGGGCCAGAAACCACTGTTCTAACAAAAACCTGTGTATTATATCAACTTTTCCAACAGATGGAAATAAAGTGACTTCAGGAATGAGAGCCTTTTTCGAATAGGCACAGAGACAGCAATGGCGTGTGTGGATGGTGAGCCTGGAGAAGCTGGGAGTCAGGGGCTCTCACCCCCTTGCAGATGGCCACGGCTTCTCGGGAAAGCGACTTGGGGTAGGTGACAGTTTGTTCCATGATGGCCTGAAACAGCTCCTCTTCATCCTCCCCATCGAAGGGAGGCTATGAAAGTGGAGGGGAGAGAGAGTCAGAGACTTGCCCAACTGCCTTTCCCCAAACCTTCCACACCCTCCTCACCCCACCGTGAACATACCTGACCCATCACACCCCCACATACACACCCGACCACACCCTCAGGAAAGACCGAACCAAACCACCAAAGCTTGATCTCTCTCCTTCTCGGGTTCTCTCATTTCCTATCTCAGATGCCTCAGCTCTGTGCATCTCTGTACTATTCTGCCTCTTTTTATCTGCTATGTAAATCGGCAGGGTGTTAATTACACAACATGTCCGTTAAATAGAAGAGAGGAAAAACTGCAGGAAACACTCTAAAAGCATTCTCCTGGTTGGATGAGTGGTTCACAGTCTTCTGAGGTTACAAAAAAATGATACCAGGCATTATTTTTTTTATTTCCTTTTCTTTTCCTTTTTTTTTTTTTTTAAGTAGAGACTAGGTTTCACCATATTGGCTAGGCTGGTCTCAAACTCCTGACCTCAAGTGATCTGCCCACTTCAGTCTCCCAAAGAGCTGGGATTACAGGTGTGAGCCACCATGCCCGGTCAAATGTTTTTTATCTTCTAACTAAAATTTAGCATTCCCTTCAGTTATGAA